TCCATCGCGCAGGAACCACGTTGGAAACTCCTTTGCGCAGAAATCAGATGGGGGGCCCATTGTGTCAGAACCCTGTCGGAAGCCTAGTTTACAGGACCCGCTGCGGCATTCCTTGCATAGCAATCCTACTGGAGATCCGTCGCGTAGGAAACCCATTTGGAAACCCAGCGCATAGGATTCCAACCGGAAGCCCGCCTTCAAGAGATCCTGCTGCGAACGCATTGCGCAGGACTCCGAATCCGAGTTGACATTGGTTTCATGCGAATCCGATTGGAGACCTAGCGTCTAGGAAACCGATTGGAAATCCAACGCGTCGGACCCCCATTGAAAGCTTCGCGAGTGAGAACATATGTGGAAACCCGTCGTGCAGGATTTGATCAGAGACCCATGGCATAGAAGCCCCGCTGGAAACTTGGCGCGCAAGAATCCTACTGGAAACCCCATCCTTCAAAAATCCAACTGGAAACCGCGCGCACTAGAATCCAATCGGAACTCCATTGCATGGGAATCCGACAAATTGGAAGCCCATTGTGGATTCCTATCGGAGACCCTTCGCGCGGGAATGTTACTGGGAAGCCCTCCTGCAAGAATCCTGATTTGAGATCCCTCGCGTCGGGGTCCTGGTGGGGCGCCATCGTAAAGGAGTCCTATTGGAGACCCATTGTGTAGGATTCGTAATGGAAGCCAGTTGTATAGGAATCCAAGTTGCAGCTCATCGCACGGGAACCGCATTGGCAACCCATTGCATACGAATCTTGTTGGGGACTCATTGCAAGGTAACCCGCTCGGTAACCCATTGCGTAGGACTCCTTAAGGAAACTCGCTGCGCAACGAAAACCCATTGTATAAAAATCCGGTTGGAAACCCATCGTATTGGAATCCGGTTGGAAACCCACTGTATGGAATACACGTTTACAAGCCCATCGCATGAGAATCCACTTGGAAACCCACGGTGCAGGAAGCTAATTGACAACGCGTTGCGCGGGGATCTTTTCGGCAACGCACTGCGTGGGAGTCTTACTGAAAACACATGGGGGTAATAATCGCATTGCAAATCCAAAACTAAATCCATGCCGCGGGCCCCTGTGTAAGTGCCTTCTCATGCACTTCAGATTCCGCAGCAAGGATGTGAAACAAACCTGCGCGGGCTCCGAAGACAAAGAAGTTGACGCCGGGGAGCCACATGGCTTTTCATTGGCTGGTGGTGGCGGTTGCTCCCAGACCGACGGCGACACAAAAGACAGGTTTGAAACCGTTTGTTTGTTCATTGTGCACGAAGGTAGGCATTGGCGCGAAATGCACGAAGGCCAGGTTTGAAACTACGGTGTTCGCAATTCCCATTATAGGAATTCAAATTAGGCCTTGTCAACAGAAGAGTACACAGAGATAACGTTTGGAAAGACACGAAGATGAAGTGCACTACTACTACTACTACTACTACTACTACTACTACTACTACTACTACTACGACTACTACTACTACTACTCCGGCTAAAACTATGATTACTACAACTACTACTTCTACTACTACTACTACTACTACTACTACTACTACTACTACTACTACTACTACTACGACTACTACGACTACTACGTACTACTACTACTACTACTACTACTTACTACTACTACTACTACTTCTATGACTACTACTATTACTACTACTACTATTACTACTACTACTACTATATACTACTACTACTACTACTACTACTACTACTACGACTACTACGACTACTACTACTACTACTACTACTACTACTACTACTACTACTACTACTACTACTACTACTACTGACTACTACTACTACTACTGACTACTACTACTACTACTACTACTACTACTACTACTACTACTACTACTACTACTACTACTACTACTACTACTACTACTACTACTAACACTACTACGACTACGACTACGACTACTACTACTGCTACTACTACTACTACTACTACTACTACTACTACTACTACTACTACTACTACTTCTACTTACTACTACTACTACTCTACTACTACTACTATTCTAATACTACTACTACTACTAATACTACTATCTACTACGACGACTACACTACTACGACTGACTACTACTTACTAACTACTTACTACTACTACTACTACTACTACTACTACTACTGCACTACAACTACTACTATTACGACTACTACGACTACTACTACGACTACTACTACTACTCTACTCTACGACTAACTACTACTACTACGACCACTACTAACTACTACTACTAACACTACTACTACTACTACTACTACTACTACTACTGCTACTACTACTACTAATAATACTCTGCTACTACTAACTACGACTACTAACTACTACTACTACCGCTGCTACTACTACGCTACTACACGACTACTACTACTACTACTACTACTACTACTATATTACTACTACTACACTACTACTACTACTGCTACTACTACTACGTACGACTACTAACTTACGAACTACTACTACTACTACTACGACTACTACCACTACTACTAAACTACTACTACTACTACTACTACTACTACTACTACTACGACTACTACTACTACTACTACTACTACTACTACTACTACTACTACTACGACTACTATTACTACTACAAATAATAATTCTAGTAATAATAATAATAATACTATAAATTACTCCGACGGAAGAACCCCACATAAGAATCCTCTGGGCGAATCTGGAAAAAAAAAAAAAAAGAAAAAAAAAAAAAAAAAAAAAAAAAAAAAAAAAAAAAAAAAAAAAAAAAAAAAAAAAAAAAAAAAAAAAAAAAAAAAAAACGTCGTCCTCGTGGTTGGTGAGGCGTCCTGGCTGTCTCTTCTGCGTATATTTCCTGTCGCCTTGGCGCGGGCCCCCCTTCCACTCCTTACGTTGTCCCCATCCTCGCCCCCCTGTTTGTTCCGCGCCCCGCCACCTCCTCCCCTTCCTGTTGCATGAGCGCGCATGTCGATGTTCCTCGGCGCCGTCGCCGCCACGGCCAGCACAGGCGCGTTCTCTACTGGTCACGTCGCGCAGCCGTTGGGACAACCCCGCGGGCCAGGCTGTCGGGACAACCCCGCGAGCCGTTGGCGCGCAAGACCAAGCCGTTGGGACAACCCCGCGGGCTTCGAGCGAGGCGCAGCCGCGCTCAGGCGGAAGGCAGCACGAAGCCCAGCTCTGCCGCGAGCTGCTTCGCCTCCGCCCTGGACAACACCGCCTGAGACTTCCTCCATATTCAGGCTTGAGGAGCCCAAAAGTGACGACAATTACAGGGTTCCGATGACCCGCTCGGATTACCAACATGATCTGCGGGCCCCATAGGGAGGGAGCTCCCGCCTGAGACTTCCTCCAAATTCACTCAGAGGCGAGGCTCCCGCCTGAGACTTCCTCCAAATTCAGGCTTGACGAGTCCAAAAGTGACGACAGTTACAAGGTTCCGATGACCCGCTCGGATTACCAACATGATCTGCGGGCCCCATAGGGAGGGGGCTCCCGCCTGAGCCTTCCTCAGAATTCACTCACAGACGAGGCTCCCGCCTGAGACTTCCTCCAAATTCAGGCTTGAGGAGCCCAAAAGTGACGACAGTTACAGGGTTCCGATGACCCGCTCGGATTACCAACATGATCTGCGGGCCCCATAGGGAGGGGCTCCCGCCTGAGACTTCCTCACAATTCACTCAGAGACGAGGCTCCCGCCTGAGACTTCCTCCAAATTCAGGCTTGACGAGCCCAAAAGTGACGACAGTTACAGGTTTCCGATGACCCGCTCGGATTACCAACATGATCTGCGGGCCCCATAGGGAGGGGGCTCCCGCCTGAGACTTCCTCAGAATTCACTCACAGACGAGGCTCCCGCCTGAGACTTCCTCCAAATTCAGGCTTGAGGAGCCCAAAAGTGACGACAGTTACAGGTTTCCGATGACCCGCTCGGATTACCAACATGATCTGCGGGCCCCATAGGGAGGGAGCTCCCGCCTGAGACTTCCTCCCAATTCACTCACAGACGAGGCTCCCGCCTGAGACTTCCTCCATTTTCAGGCTTGACGAGCCCAAAAGTGACGACAGTTACAGGTTTCCGATGACCCGCTCGGATTACCAACATGATCTGCGGGCCCCATAGGGAGGGGGCTCCCGCCTGAGACTTCCTCACAATTTACTCAACGATGATGAGGATGAGGATGATGAGTGGTGGTGAAGATGAGTGGTGAAGAGGATGATGATTGATTGTGAGTGGTGGTGGCGATGATGATGTTTGAATGAGGATGATGCCGATGCCGATGATGATGATGATGATGATGATGATGATGATGATGATGATGATGATGATGTTCGCGAGCGTGTGAGAGAGTGCGAGTGATGATGATGATGAGTATGTGAGTGACTAAGCATGTGAGAGAGCATCATCGATGATGCTGATGAGGTTGATGATGAGAGAGTGTGAGTGAGTGTGAGTGGGTGTGTGTGTGTGTTCCTGTTCCTGCGCGGGGTGTCCAGAGAAAACAAGAACCCCACTTTGGATGTGGGGAATAAATAATAATAATAATAATGATAATAATAAAAATGCGAATACTACGACTACGACTACGACTACGACTACGACTACGACTACGACGGCTGCTACTATTACGACCATTATCCAGAGCCACGCACTACCGGGCCAGCGGCCCAAGGGCCACTGGCTACAAAGCAGCAGGATTCGTGGTGCCCAAGGCACACCAATGGTGCAACGTGATCTACAGGGGCAGAACCACGAACCAGACTCTGCTGGCTACGGGCTACCCTGCAACGGGCTGCCCAGAGCACCTTTGCGGACCACGCTCCAACTTTTGAAGCCGTGCGGGCCCTGTCGGAAGTCATGGACAGTCCAAAAACTTGCGACGCCCGGGGAAAGAAAGCACAACAATAACAGCGGCCGTACGAGCGCAAGTATGGTGCTGCCAACGATGCCAACGGCCTTACCACCGACACACAAAATCCTCAAGAGCCGGCCCTTGCATCCGCTAACAAGCCGACGGTACCATGCTTTCAAGCTGTTCCATCTGCAGGCACAGCTTGCGCATGAGCTTTACCTGGAAGTCTTCTTCTGCCACGCGACCACCACCCCATTCGATTTTGAAACTATGCTTATCATTCCATTCTGGATCCCCGCTGGGGTCCATTGAGCTTTGCTTCGTTCGCCAAGTTTGAGCCGCATCCTTCCCATACAGCTTCAACGGCACCTTGAAAGTGGCAGACCAAGACCCCTCCAGCGGAAAATTGTTGCCCTTCAATAAGTTGATGCCGAGCGTGCCATGAGGCGCTCCGTCGTCTTCACCTGAGGGAAACCACTCGACCTCGACACCGATGGTGGTATCCTCTAAGATGCTGGCACCCCTCAAAGTGCCATTCAGGACGCACATCGTCTTCGCGATCACGTACTTCGATGTAAAGATCGGTAAACTCAAATCCGCCAAGCGCCTACTGTGGGGCATCCAGGCACCGTGAAATGAACACTGTCGTGTTGTATTCCCGAGTGCCAATTGCAATGGAACACGGCTTAAAGATATTCTGCCCCCCATAGATTTCGAGGCTAGGGGATTCTCGAGTATGCGCTTGCAGAAATCGTCAGACGCACGATTCGCTCCTGTTTCATCAAAAACAAACTCTCGATCTCGCTCTCGCTCTCTCTCTATCTCTCTCTCTCTCTCTCTCTCTCTCTCTCCCTCTCTCTGTCTGTGTGTTATCACTCTCTCTCTCTTTTTCTCTCTCTCCTTATCTCTTTATTGCTCTCTCTCTCTCTCTCGCTCTTTCTGTCTCTCTCTCTCTCTCTCTCGCTCGCTCGCTCTCTCTCTGTGTTATATGTATACAGACATGCATAAACAAATGAGTCCATATCTATAAACACAGCATACGCACATTCCCGACGCAGGAATGCTCAGAGGCGATCTTTCTGGCACTATTGCTCGAGGCATGATGGTAAGTATCAAGATCGGACGCGCCCTTCACGCAGATCGAGACGTTAGGGTAAAAAACAAGATGACACTTCAATGTGTGACGACAATACCTTCGATAACACAACGGGTTTGACTAGTCGTTCACCTAACTGTGAAAGAGTCATTACTTGTTCAGTGGTTTCCTGTGTAGGTCTTCAGTAGGATGAAAAGTAGATGTCTGTGAGTTTGCACACGCCTGCTTGCAACGCAGTGGTTTCTTTCTGTGGTTTCCAGTATAGCCCTCTAGCTGTGCTCGAAGCTGTGGTTTTCCATGCCGACAGGGGTGCTTCTCAACTGTTCGTCGAATCGAAAGCTGTGGCAACCCGGTCGGTGGCCCACCATTGCTTTTTCGGTATGAGCCTGTGCACGCACGTGCCTCGTGCAATTGTGTATCAAACTACATCTCCGCCACCGTGTCTCGAGGCACGAAGCGGAATGTTCTCCAAGCTTCTGAAGTTCTGTACTCTGCATTCAGCATCGTAATATCATAATTAGTGGCAGAGGGCCCAAACTCCCAAATCTTCTTGGCGCTCTCGCGCGCTCGGGCTTCCCCGCGTGACTTTCCCAGGGGCCCGAGGGCACCTGTGACGGGCCAAGAGTGCCCAAGAGGCATTCAAGACCCCAAGATGGCCCCGAGTCGCCCAAATATCGTTCCAAGACGCCCAAGATGGCCCACAGACGGCCCAAGAGGCCCCCAAGACGCCCCAAGAGTTATGTTGCTCCCGTCGTACTGAAAGACCACATCCCAGAAATAATTTCGAGCACCCGGAAAAGTGTCGAAAGAGTATCGAAACAGTGTCGAAACAGTGTCGGACGAGTGTCTCCCAGGGCCCGACACGCGAAAACCCTCGAGTTTTGGTACTTGTTTCTGGTGCTCGAAATTCTTTCTGGTGGTCAAGGCTAAAGTAGGTTGGAATATCATGACCCAAGAGGGCTCCAGGAGGTCCCCCAAGGGGGCCCCGACTTAGGTTTCTGAAAAAGTTAGTGCCCTCGCCTTTGCCCCAAGACTGCCCAAGATAGACCAAAGACGGCCCAAAAGGCCGCCAAGACGGCCCAAGGGGGCCACACCAGGAGAGGCCCCAGAGGGGCAACACGAACCGACGTTTCGAGCCCTGCGCCCCAAGATGGCCCCCGAGACCGCCAGCAGGCCCCCGAGAAGCTCCCCCACAAGCTCCGGGAGGGCCCCAAGAGGCCCGAGGCGATCCCCGAGAGGCCCCCCGAGACAACCCGGAACCGAACCCGAGAGGCTTCCGAGAGGCCTCCCAAGAGATCCCCACGGGCACCCCGGAGGCCGCGGAGGAGGAGGAGGAGGAGGAGGAGGTGGAGGAGGAGGGGGAAGAGGAGGAGGATGAGGAGTAGGACGCGGAGGGGGAGCAGGAGGAGGAGGAGGAGGACGGTGGCTGGATGGACGGAAGGCCACTAGGATGTTGCTGGAACCATCGAGGGCGCGCGCCGCTACGTGCGCGCTCGGGCTCTACCTGCCCTGCAGCCCAGCGTACAGCGCGGTGCCCTGACGGAAGCATGCCCCTGCGGCAACCCCAGGCGGCCCCCGCCGCCTCCGCGCCTTCCCTCGATGTATGAAGGGAGGAGGTCGAGTAGCGAAGAGGGAGCGGGAGCGGAGGAGGCGGGGTGGAGGAGGCCAGGCCAGAGGTAGGGAGCAGTAGGGCAGAGAGGGGCGTGGCGAAGAGAAGAGGAAAGAAGGCAGCTGCTGGTGGAGGAGGAGTGTGGAAGACCGATGGCGAAGGAAAGGCGAGGAAGCAAGAGAAGCACGTAGAAGGAGGAGAAATGACCTCATCACGCGGCAGTCTGCCCGAGCTCTCTGAAATACTTTTTGAAGTCTCCTGGGATCCTGTAAGAAGAATGTTTGGGGCCTCCCGGGGTATTTGGGGAAGCCTCTTGGAGGCTTGGTGGTGGCCTCAGAGGGCCTCTTGGGGGCTTCTTGAAGGCCAGCTGGCGGTGTCGAGCTTTTGGGGGCCTGTCTGAGGCTTTCTTGGGGCGGTTTGGGTCTTCTTGGGGAGCCTCTTGGCCGCGTGGGGGCCCTGGGGCGTCTTGGGTCCCTCTCGGGGCCCCCTTTGGCCGCTCGTTGGCCGTCTTGGGCGCCTGTAGCGCGGTCTCGAGGCCGTTGGAATGGTCTTGGGGGCCGTCTTCGGCCGTCGTGGACGCTGTTCAGACCGGAAAAACGAATGTGCTTGAAATCTACCATTTCCTCAAGGGGTGGGAAGATTGTCGCCTCTTGGGGCCCTTTGCGAAGGTCCTCTCGGAGCCGTGGAGCCACTTGGAGGCACCCGAGGCCGTTCTGAAGCCACCTTGGGCTGCCTGGAGCTGCCTGGTATCCATCCGGGGCCGCCCGCAAGCCTTGCTCGCCCGTCTTGGATTCCGACGGCGCGTGGAGACCCAGAACACACACCGGTAACTCCCGGTGGCCTTCGGCCCTGGGGCCCCCGCGGACCAGTTTCCGGTATATGAAAAGCATGCGTGTTTTCCTCAACTCCAGAATGCAGAGGCATCTCCACGAGGCAGGGGGGGGCACCGGTGACTCACCGCAGGCGTCCTCGATAGCTGGATCCGACTTTCGTGTCGCCACAGCCGCCTGAGAAAAGCTCTACGTGAACATAAGGAACTGTCATATCATCGACCCATGCATGCCCAAATGCTAAGTTGCTTTTCTCCACCTCATGTTGCATCTTTACTTGCTGCGTATGTTCAGCGTGCGCCTCCTTGTACAGCAGCTGTATCTGCCCCAATGGCAGCAAAAACACAAATCCTTTAAGGATGCCCACTGCAAGAACGATCAGATGATTGATAGGGTCTGCAGGGATGGCGTACTTGTTTTCCAAACTAGCTTGCATGTTGGTCAAACGACCCATCACCCACCCCACCGCGCGAGGCACGCTTCGAACATCTTCATGCCAGTCTTCATTGCCAATCCAAACGTTGTTTTGGAGGTCCTGCACTATGGGCTTTGTCCGCCCTTCCAACTGATACATGATTGCACCTAATACAAGCGATAGCAGCGCAAGGGTGAAGACGATCACAGCGATAGAACTGGCACTCTTGCTAAACACAGCTCCCATCATCATAAGATCGTCACTGTAGTTTGCAAACTTCAGCACACGGAATATTCTAAAAATCCGAAAGAATTTCAAATCTACTGAAGGTAGCCCCAGAGCGACCTCAGCAAGGTTGCCCCAAAAAGGAGCGATTGCCAACAAATCAATAACATTCATTGGCCTCCGAAGGAATGACAAAATGCGGGACGTCTTCGAGCCTAGTATGGGCAGTTGCGCATTAGGATCAAACTGAGGCGGCACAACATGAGTAATCGTGTTGTGCAAGTCCAACAAAGAGCGACGGCAATAAGGCGCGCACATGAGTTTGGCCAGGTATTCAGCCGTGAATCTGCCGACCCCCACTTACCGAGGGAAGCTATGCGTGTGAGGTGATTGACCGCTCCCCTCTCCCTGCTCCACCCTCCCAGGCGTCGAGACTTCAATTAGAGCGGGGGGAATGGGATGGAGGGGGACGAACTGATCAACCCCTCACTTGGAATCGGCGGAATGGCGCGCACCTCCAGGATATGCCGAGCAGGTACTGATCGAAGAATTCGGATGCTCCGTCGTTGCAGGTCGCGGCCACACTTGCGAGTATCGCGGCGATCATGACGATGTCCCAGGCGATGCCCAACTTGGATTTTGACTCCTCCAACACCAGGTTCAGGCGCTCCATGGGTCGCAAAGACACCGACATCTTCAAGCCCTCTACGCCGTTGCACGCCACGTGAAGGTCCTCGAACGTGAGCCACGTTGTGTCCGCCAAGCCATTGACCTCAAAAGCCCTCTCGATACGGACCCTGTGCGCCTCGTAGTTCTCGTCGGCCATGAAGAGGAACCTCATCAAGAATCTCTGGAATGATAAGACGTGGAGAGCACGCTGGTCATTCTTCATGTACCCCGCAACCTCTGCCCTGTGAAAAATCCTCTTGAAGAAGATCTCGTCGAATTCGTACGTCGCGGCGGGCATCCACGGAGCATAGAAAGACTTATGGAGAGCTTTGCTCCGGCGTTCCTTCCACTGTTTGAACCACGCAGCGGAACTGCGCGAGACGGAAGACCGCCTGGCTCGAGGCGCATCACCTTCTTCCTGTTCGGGAAGCGTGAAGGCGACGAGCGACGGCGCTGTCATCCTGCCCGGCAAGGGCGCCCGTGCGGGGACGAGCGCCTCGAGCCGAAAGGGTCACGGCAGAGCAGCGCAGCGCGGCAAGTGCCCGCACCGTGCTCCTCTCTCGAGACAGACCGTGCAGGACGCGAGCTCTCCTGCTGGGGCGCGTGGTCCTCCTCTTCCTTCGAAGGGGCCCTGGGACACACAAAAAAAAATACACACAAATGAAAATATGCCCCATATGTTCCCATATTTTCTGGGCTTTTGCC